TTGGTTTACATTTATCTCTGTAGTTCTTCACATATAGTGGTGTTTTTTGGACAATTTGCAAGTGACAAATTCAGTGAGAATTACTTTGAACACGTGCCACTAATCATAATAAAAGGGAAAAATTAGTGTCCAACATGTAAAGTATGGGAGTGTTACTGTGCACTTCTGTGTGTGCTTGGAACAGTTCTTCATTTAATCTACCTTTATATTTTAGGCTTATTTCTGTACAATGGCTTCAGAACATTTCTAGCATTTAAACACATTTAAAATATAAGTAATTTGGGTTCCCTTTTTACATTTCATGGGACTTTGTTGTGTTTGCTGCTAATAAAAAGCATTAAATTAAAGCACCTCATAATGAAAATTTGCCATGTGTAAGGTTTTGTATTATAACTTTACATGTAGAACTAAGTAATTTAAGAAAAAAAAGTCTGCTTTTTTTTCTTGTTTTTCTGTGACCTGAAGATGAATTGTAGTATGTTGAACAAGTATTGTAATTCAAACTCAGATATAAAATTTGCAAGTGAAATTTTTCTACAGGAAAGAAAAATTGTACTGCAGTGACTCAGATTTTTGCAGGGAACTAACCTTTTGCAAGATTGCAAGTAATGTTTTGGATTAAACTGCCTTCTTCCTGCAAATTGCTGTGTGGTGAAGAGGAAGGTTAATTTCAGACACATGCTGCATGGGATGAATTATTTCTGTTTATGTCCAATTGTGTTTTGAAATATCATCAGTGAAGCAATTTTTGCAAATAGAAGTAAAACAGTTTCAGTTTCATCTGGAATAATTTTATATTAAAATTTTTAAAAGAACACTCATATATTTGATGTTATCAGTAAGAAGTATACAGGCATAAAGTCATAAATAATAGATTCTTGTGTTCTGATGTTTTTCCTTATGAGAATTTGAAAAGTATTTGCTTTATTTGTTGCAGGAAAGGGAGTACTTGGCAGAACAGAGTAGTTAAAGCTAAGCCCCATCCCACAAGTTCACTAACTTTTCTTTCTTATCCCCACTCACAGTCATGTATACTGGAATTCAAGTCCATATTTGCGTTCTTCTGATCTCTCCTTTTTTTTCTGAGTCGTATTTCTGAATTCTTATAGAAAAAGAGCTGCTGTCAAAACAAATATGGCCAACTAACCACAACTACTATTCATTGCCTTTGCAATTTCTTCAGCAGCTTCAGAGTAGTGAAAAATGCTTGTCTGAGAAGTGTTATTCACCAGGTTTTTTCAGTTATACAGGAGTTCCCTGGCTGAGCTGGGAAAGAGCTTGTCAGAGGACACTTCCTTAAAAGAAGGAAAATCTTCTTAGAAGAAGATTTCATCTTTTATCTTCTTTAAAAGAAGAGTATCTCTTCATTGGTGCCATATTCAAACAGCCCAAAGTGATTGGAGAATATTGGTGTTTAATTCATTAAATGCTGCAGCCTGGCCTAAGTTCCCATTTGATGTTTGCATTTGGTTGCTGAATGTAGTCTTCGGCTTCCAACACTATTTTCTTATTCCTTCCATATGTAAATATCAAATGTATGGGTTCCAGTTTCTTGTTTCCTTTTTCAATCTGATGGTTGTAGAACCCTTTAAAGGGGCAATTGAAGGAAAAGGTCTCCTAGAGAGCCATCTAGCAAAATGATTGGTTATTTGATACCAACAAAGACAGCTGAAATATACCTGAAGCACATTTTACAAGAGAAAAGGGATACTGTGATCAGGAAGAACTTTGAAGAACTGGCAGTTCTAAGCTCAGCTGCTTTGGAAACCACAAGTATATATTTATTACTTGAATTAGTAACAAAATTATTCTTGGCAATAATTGATTGCACTGCAATCTGTAGTAGTGGCATATGTAAGATCATAGATTAGGGACAGTCTCATTCCTACCTTATCACTTCTCAGGTTAACTGTGGCAATTTCACATATTTATGTGTAGAATAATTTAATACAGGCATGTAGTTGCCTGTATTAAAGCAACATCAGTCCTAACACTGTCCTACAGTGGCACATAGGGGTGTCTACACAGAAATGATAATTAAGCTTCATCTCTGTGGATACCAGTGGAGAATGTCTCTTCCAGAGAACTCCACCACATCATCCACCACTCCAGATTTACTGACCTTTGTTTCTTAAACATGTAAATGTAGAGCAAAATGTGTGTGTAAAATTGTGCACACATATGCACGGACATGAGGTGTGGGGTTCTTTTTGAGAAAGGAAACCTTGTAATGTCTGATCAATATACTTCTCTTCTTTTGATGTTAGGTGTTTTATTCAATGATGATGACTACAAATTTGGCTTAAGAGCTATAGTTGCTGAAACTCTTCAGCCCATTAGCTGTAGACTGGCATGTACTTAGCCTGTGTCAAGTCTAGATTCAACATATGGAAGGTGATGCAGCTGGCTTACTTCTAGCATGTCTGCTATTAGATATTTTTCACTTACCTGATGTTTGCTGACAGTCTAAAATCTGTATGTGGCTCTGTTTTCAGATATTCTAACCTATGGTGTAACTTAGAAGTCACCTAAATCCTACCTGATTTTATCTGCTCAGTTGCTGCGTTTTCATGTGTTCAAATCTCTCACTGTCCTCCTTTTCATCAAAGAAGGCAATTTAAGCAGGGAAATTGTGACTGTTTTTACCCAAGGAACTTCTGTAATTTTATAGAAACTTAGAATTTTTTGACTTGAGCACAGTTTTATTTCTTAGTCATAAGACTTGTGTGGTTCTAAACAGTGTACATAGAATTGGAAGATGAGAAGGGACATCAAGAAGATGTCTGCTCTGTACATCAGTCCAATCAATATATGTTGGTATTAATCTTGATACATGCTAATATTTTATCTTAAAACCTCTATGATTATTCTAAATCTTCCCCGGTCAACACCACTTGTAATACTTAACTATCCTTACTATTACAAAGGATTTAATAAGGGGGAGTATTTGAATATTTTTCTTACCTAACGTGAATCTCTCTTAAGCTTACTAGTTGTCCTAGCTGCTGTGGACATGAAAATCACAGTCATTTTATGCAGCAACCTTTTGCAGACCATGTCTCCTATTTTTCTTTTTTTTTACTCTCTTCAGATAAACTAGTTTAATTCAATGTTTTCATGTTGTTGTTTTTGTTGAAGAGCTAGAAACCACTTTTTCTCCGCATTTTTCTCAGATCTTTTTTGTAGGATGAGCCCAGAACTATACACAGTACTGCTGGCTTTCTTTTATTTAAACAAAGCTTCTTTTATAAAGCTTTGTTTTCCATTGTTCTCTGCCTCCTTGATTCACCCAAGTTTACTCATTGAGCTTGAATGATTAGTGACTCCCACTGCTCAAAGGCTGTTGTCTTAAGCAAGCAGCTTCTTTCTTAGGATGTTCATGAAATTCAGTTTTACTTTTTCTTTATCTGTACACTTGACATGGATTGAGGAATTATATATAGTTTTACAAGCAGGAACTGAAGTAATTAAGCATGCTATCTTCAAGGAGGAATTTAGGATTAAGAAGAGAAAAAAAAAAGACATGATTAGGAGATGAAAAACATTTCATTGTTACTGTATATGGAAAAAGTAGACATTTTTTGTGTGTAATATTTTTTTGTCAAAGTGACTGCGGTTGAATGTGATTCACAGAAATGAGCAGTGGTGTTTTGTTTTCTTCCATTTCCCTGGTAGTAGGCAGACAAGAATCAAAGTGCAGGGGGAGGTTTTATTATTGCTTTTAGGTATGGTCTCTTTGAACAACCTGCCTGCCAGGTTTACTAGGAATCTTATTTAGATGGGATTATTCCTACCTTTGTTAATAAAATATTGTCAGTTGATAGATTGAATCTCTAGGCACAGTTGCACTGATAGCTGAGCTGGTTTAACAGCTGACATTGCCAAATGGAAATCTTTCTGTTTCACCTGTATGCCTTCTACCTCCCCCTGTATAAACTCCTTTCAGAATGCTCTAAGATGACACATTTCACTAAACTCTGAGAATACCAGACCAAAATTTCTTTGCAAAGTCCTATTTTCAGCTGGGATAGAGTTAATACTCTTCCTAGTAGCTGGTGCAGAGCTGTGTTTTGGATTTAGTATGAGAATAATGTGGATAACACAGATGTTTTGGCTGTTGCTGAGCAGTGCTTACCCTAAGTCAAGGACTTCCAGTTTCCTGTGCCCTGCCAGTGAGGAGATGCACAAGAAGCCAGGAGGGAGCTCAGCCAGGCCAGCTGATCCAAACTGGCCAAAGAAATATTCCATCCCATGGAATATGATACCCAGTATATAAAATGGGGGAGTTGGGTGGGAAGGGCCAGTTACTGCTGGGGGGCGGGCTGGGCATCAGTCAGTGAGTGATGAGTGAGTGTATATATATCTACTGAGTGAGTACTGTGCATCACTTGTGGGTTGGGGCTTTTTTTACATTTGTGGTAGTTCATCTCTGGTTTTTTACTTTTGTTATTATTTACTTTATTGTAATTATTTGGCTGTTTCTATTTCAATCTGTGGGATTTTTTTTTCCCCTTTTTCCAATCCTCCTCTACTTCCCAGTCAGAGGGGAGGAGGAGTGAGGGAATGATTTCTGCATGGTAGGTAGTTACTCTCTGGGTTAAACTGTGATCCCACAGCTGGATGAGCTTAGCACAAAATTCAAAAAATGGCTTAGTACTGGAAAATATTATAAACCTAAAAGTTGGCACATGGGGAGGAAGGAGAGGTGTTGATTTTGTAGAGGATCTTAATTCTTCTGGTGAAGATGAGCTAAAAAAAATGACTCAGCTCCATGTGATGATACTCTTGGAGAAGTCGAACTGTACAACATGTTTTTTAAGAGAAGGTGAGTGCCCAGAAATACTTGTAGATTTTCCTCTGTCCATGGCATATTCCCCGTCCCCACGTAACGCTCAATGAATGATTTGAGTTGAGCTATCCTTTTAAAAACTGAAAGTATTTTCTTGTGATCTGTTTTTGTTATTTTATTTAACACAAAGTCTGTTCTGTTTGAATTGCAGATGCAGTTGCTGCCAGAACTCAGAAGATGACCTCACCAAAACCCAAGAAAAGCACAGCAACCAGAAAGAGAGTCCAGAAGTAAATAATATATGGAGCAACAAATTAAGTTGCTCTGTGGCTCATTTCTGGTTTGGTTGTGGTTTTTTTGTTGGTTTTTTGGGGGTTTGTTTTTTTCTTTTTCTGTGGGTTTTTTTTGTAGCACTGGAATCTTTTTTTTTCTAAATGATGAATCCTATAAAAACATGGACTGCTGTTTGTACCTGTTTTTGAAGAATAAATGTTTTATTGAAACATTTGCATAATTTATGTATACTTAAATACTAATGCAAAATTTTGCCAACTTCTGAAGTGGGGATGCATTTTTATTCTTTATATACATGAATTCACGTCTTAAAGGCAAACTAAAAGAGAGTGCTTTTTTCCTGCTTCATAATATAGAGATAAAGCCTGAATTAATAGTTTCATTATGAATACTGTATAAGAAACAGCAGTGTTGCATCTGATTTCTCACAGTTTTGAGTAAAGTCATATTGGTGGTCACTTAAATACACACTGAGATGAAGTCTGAAAAAGCAGAAATAGCTTTTAAATATGTTTCAAGTGTTTGAATTAAAAACAGAACATAAGGCAAAAATCATGTTCTTCCATTCTGGTTAGTATAAAATGCACATAATCAATTTTTTGGAAGACAGGTACTAAATTTTAGCCATTTTTTGCTTAGTATTTGTGTTTGTAGAATTTTTCCAATTATTCAGTTTCTCTGGAATGAAAGAGACCAGAATTTCAGACAGAGGGCCCAGGGCAAAGAAAAGAACCAACTTAAAAACCAGTGCCTATTCTCAATCACCCCCTCAGGTTTTCTTTTTATATTAGTGAAAAGACTAGAATATAATAGTAACTTCGTGCAGAATCTAGTTCCAGTGTAATATTGTCTCATAGCAATAATGGTTTACCTTTTTTAATACTTGAGAAGCATGTAATCTTCCAAAGCCTTTTGTAAAAGTACTTCATTGGTTGGCTTTGAGTCCTCTCTTTAGAGCTGTAAGTCAAAAAACAGTGTTGAATTCCTGAGTGAAACATTGCTGCATTTCATATATCTACTGCAACATACACATAGTAAGGCATAAACATCATTCTTATCAGCGTAGTCAAAAGTTTGGTGAACCAAAAGGAATCCATATGAGCCAGTGAGAGTGTATTTGTGTGGATGTCCAGCTTGCTTGAGTGTATAATGTCTGAGTAGCAACTCATGAGATTAAATAAATATGTTGTAGCACTGTTGAATGTATGAATGATGAGGTTATGTTTTGTAACAAGGGAATCCGTTGTTTTGAAATAAAACTGGAGTACCATGTTTTTAAGAGGTGCTTTCTCATTTCTGTTGACTGTTAGGCTTGTTTTCCTGAGTATTAGCAACGTGTGGCTGACAACTTTAAGTGTAGCATTCTCTTAATTTCAGATGTAAAAATAGGATTGCTAAAGCCTCTCTCAAGTTTAAAACTCCTCATATCAAACTATTATTTTAATGATCTCGTTTAATCATTTTGTTCAGGAAGTATGTTATGCTGTTCTGAATAGCTATTGTCAGTAAGGCATACTGTATTCTCTTCCTTGTCACATACTCAAAGTTAATGTAATTCTTTTGTACTTCAGTTGTTTGACATTTTATTTTTTTTAGTAACTTATTTATCACTAAACTTCCTTTGATAACTTTCCAAGTTCTCAAGCAGTGTGTTTTCTTTTGACACCACCAAAGCTAAATGGAACAAACATTTATTTCCATAGATTTGAAAAGAATGTTTTGAGGTGCGAATTTCATAAGCCACCCCTACTTCCTCCCACCCCAAAAATGTCCGGGAAAAAAATGTCCTGGCAGGTGTTCTGTGAAGGGAAAGGGTGCTTTTCATTCAAGGTGAATGTTGTTTCAGGGCTTGTCTCTGCTCACAAGGCACTGCAAAACCCCAGGCAGCAGCTCGCTGTAACTGCAGTAGTGTTTAAAGCGTGGGACGGCCAGGAGGAGCGGAGGGGAAGGCTGTGATCATACCCGCAGCGCTACCGTATGGATCACATACAGTGCGTGCTTGCACACACGTGTTCTCTCTGCTTTGCCAAGCGCTGATGGGGAAATACAGCACTTCATGAGAAGCGGAGGGTGCAGTTGCATTTTGTTGACATCCCCATTTGAAAGTAAAGCCCTAACACAAAAGAAGCAAGCTGCCTTTAGACTGCATTTACTGCTCTTGATGACTCCAGTTGTGTGTAAATATTAGAAAACAGCAGGGTCCTGCATTCCAAGAATCACTTGAGCAGTGCCATGAAGACAAGTGTCCTTACTAGTATTGTAGTCATACTCCCAAGCTCTCCTGCTGTTTCTAATCTGTGCGTGCAGCCGTGAAAAAACTGGACTGACATTTACAGGCACAGCAGGGAAGCACTTGAGTAGGGAATGTTAAAGACTCCGCTACCTATGTTTCAAAGTGGCCACCATACATGATAAATCTTCACAGAAGAACTAGTCAGCACTTCAGCTGATGGTGTAATGAGGATATTGATAATGAAGCACAGAATGCTTCTTTTAATGCTTGAACATTTTGCAGACAGATTGTTTATATTTTCCCCTGATCTAAAATATCTGGAGAGACAGTCAGATTCAGGATGGATATAACATATTTTTTAGATGGTGCTGGTTTGATAATTGTTACGGGATTATTTTCCAATAAATTAATATAAAATAATAATTCCCAATATTTGCTGCAGCTAGGAGTAAGAAGGGGGTCAGTTGCTTTCCTGAGTAGTTTGACAGACTTTTCTCACTGTTTTGTCCCAGTGAGCTGCCAGATTTGGGATGCCATAATACCAGTAATGCAATTAGGTTTTCTGCACGTTGTCTGGTTGACTTCTCAGTTAAGAGTTTCTTTCCCTTTGGGAATAAGACTAGACAGACTGTCATTTGCTATTACTAATTCTGCTTAGCATTATCACTGGAGCTTTTTTGTAATTAGCTATCTTAGTTGGCTCTTAAATTTTAATAGCCAATTGAAGCTACATTTTAGCCAAGTTCCATATCTAAATTGCATTCAGTCCATTAACAAAGTTGGTTAAAAGGCTATTAAAACAAAAGCCAATACATGGTGGTTAGCACTTACATCTTTGCAGCAGTAGCAGTACCAGTCTCCAATGAATATTCTCGAGAAATGGCACTTCCTTCTAGAAAGGAAGTGCATGAAGAATGACCAAAGTTTGTTTGGGGAACAAAGACTGAATACTCATAGAAAAAGTAAATAATTGAAGTGTGTCTTTTCTGGAAAAAGGTGGGAAAGAGGGGCGGGGGGAGATATAGAAAGAGGCAATTAATTGTTCTGCTCAGATTTGACAGGTTCTGGAAAAGCCAAATAAATAAAGTGATGTTTTTCTCCATTTCAGCTGATCAAAATTATTAGCAAAACCATCTGAAGCACCTTCTGGTGGAATTGTCATCTTGCTGAGTTTAGTTTGTAAAACATCCTGCCAGACATTAAAAAAACTGTAAGCATGCCAGCACATAGGCTCAGAACACCACTTCTCTAATTGATAGACCCTATAATTTTCTTTTTTACTGAAGACCATGGCTGGATACCTCAGCCTCCCATGTAATTTAATGTAGCATTAGTCTGAATATTTTATCCCTAGTAGCATTTGTTTAAATTAGATTTTTGTACTCTTTTCTTTCTGAAGGTGTAGACAGGAGATTAACTGCCTTTGGTTCATCCTGTGACTAATAATGCCTTTCTCAGATTTTTCTGCTTAAAAAAGAAAAATCTTTACTTTTGGGAAGACATCAGATATTAATGCTGCTATGGCTTTAATAGAGAGTCTACCAGTTACTGATGAGCTGTTTCAAGGATGGTTTGCAGTGCCCAGTAGAGGTGATGATAGGTGAATAACAGTAGCTTCATTGTAGGAGGTGTGAGGCAGACTCCAGATTGTGTCTTAATAACCAATACATATCTGCTTTTATTAGCACACATAGTGGACATCTAAATTAGTGTTTCCAGTGTACCAGTTCCATTGTAAAAAATCCACAGAGCTGGTGCTTTTTGAACAAGAGTCAGATCCTGTTGTGTATAGTGGCGCTGCAACATCAAACTGACTGGAAAAGCTCTGTGGGACTAAATACCAATTCCTTTACCTCCCATGTTGTTTGGGGGTGCTGGGCTCTTTGCAGTGATAAGGTACTCAAAGGGAGAAGGAATGGGTTCTTTGTGAGAAGTGATTTTCATTATGTCCTTTCTCAAAGGCAGGGAGAAAGCAGATGTGGTGGGATCAACTTTTCAAAAAAGGTCTAGAGTCCTAGTTAGGATCTCAGATAGCTTTATGCAACTGCATGCTAATTCATCATCATTTCAGTTTTCTTCACTGATATTATCAAGATTCAGCAGCTGAAGATTTAGAAAGTTGATTCCATGAATTTGATGCTTCATTTAAGTCCTTTATCTCCATGAATGGTACCTCTATAGCACCAATTTGGGGTTTAGAAAAATGCAACAGCTCTAACTGGCTGCTACAATTTGACTTCATTTCTCTACATGGTTGTGCCATGTTTTTGAATATGAAATCACAAACAGTATAGCACTTGTACTTTCTGGAGTCCGTGTTTCATCTTATCCTCCAAAACCTGTCTTCTTCCAGACTGGTGCATATCTTGCCCATGCCAGATTTTAATGCCCTCACATTTAGCTCTGCATACAAATACCCAGAATTGTCAAATGGCCCTCAAATTTCACAGCTGCCTAAGCTCCTATAAGTGAAGCTTTTTCTTCCCCATTGAGAATGCTGCAACAAGTCAAAATTGAGGTTTTGCATTTTTCAGGATTACCCCGAAGAGTAAAAGAGTTGTGGAGGAACTGTCACTTGATAGGAGGAAGATTGGCTCCCATATTTCTACCCCTTGTCTTGGAAGGTCAGCTTTCCAACCCTGCAGACCTTAGCTGCTCTGATGGGCTTTCATATGTATACTCAAAAGAAAAATGATGAGAACACAGTGAGACAGCTGTGAAGTATAATAAAAGTGAAAAGAATATACATTTTTATGAACTTTCCTGAACTAATTCCTTTTGCCAGACCACTCCAGACAGGAAGAGGCTGACACAGTGGTGATCTGCATCTGCAGCTTCTGAGAGGAAAAAAAAATCTTCCTTGGCAAGTGGAGCTAGAAACCCAGAAAATGAAGGATTAATACGTTCATTTATACAGGAGCAGTGAGAACACAATAACATGAAATACAACCAAGGAGGATGCATTTAAAAGACAAAAGAGCCCTGGAAGGGACGGTACTTAGCTTTGTTCAGAATGCGAACTCTAACATGCAGTTCTGGGAATTGGTGAATTGCACAGCTTAATGTTAAAAGAAATTACTTCATACCACAAGAAATACACGATCTGTGCCTTGAAAACCTGAAGGTACTTTCCTTTCTCTTTCTGCCAGGAGAGGAGTGGAACACTGGATCTGCTTGAAAGTAAGTAACCCTCCAGCTAATTTTGTCTATCTGCTGCTAAACCTGAACAAAAATAGTGTAAGTAATAAATTGAATTCCTTTCTGAAAAGAGATATATCTATAAAAGAATAATAATGCCTTTATTCTTACATTCTTACTAATCTCTCATTGTGGAGCTGTTTCCTTTGGATTGGTGAGAGTGGATCTGCAGAAGCAAATATGCAGTCCCTGACTCACATCTAACAACACATGGTGATGGCCACAGCAAAGTATGCAGCAAAGAGCACCACATTTGGAAGACAGTGTAGTGCTGAAAATATCTGGGTGTGGTGTAACAGATATCTGGGTGTGGTGTAAATCTGGGTTTCCTCGTCACTGCGAGAGCTGATCATCAGTAATTTATAGGCTTTGGGCTTTTTTAATCAGTGTGGTCAAATGTGGAAGGAGGCAGAATTTGAAATTCATCTCTTATCCGGACCAGATATCACCTGATAAATCTCTTTGGAGACTGACAACAGTTTTTGCCTTTATTATTCTCATATGTGAGATGGTTTATGTGTAGCAGTGAGTTGTGTCACTGACTGCTTGTTTCTCTTCCTCATGGCAAAGCCCTCTTAAAAACAATTTTGAAATTTGTCATCCATTTCTAGTGAAACCACTGCCCAAGATTTTCCCTAAAGCTGACCAGAATAGTTTTCTTTCCGTGCATGGAAACTATTCTGTTTTGGGGGTGAATTCCAGTTTTTTATATTGAAAACCTGACCTTTCAGAGCTAGTAGTGCCCAAAATAGTATTTGAAGCCAGTAAGGGCTGCAGGTAACCACTATCTCTGAAAATCAAATATATGTTCCTCTAAAAGTGTATCTTTTGCCTGCTATGAAGATAACGTTATTTTTTTCTCTCAAGCACACTGCTGAATTATCTTTTAAGATTAGGGGTAGGAGCAAAATTGCAAGAGTTCCTAACAAGGAATGAGTAATTCGAAAGTGAAATTGCATGCTGCAAACCAGTAACTTGATCTGAACCACAGAACTTGTGCTTGAACTTGACATTCCTTGATTAACTAAGGGTACTGTGTCCAAGGTAATGAGGAACTGGAGGAGTGAGAAAAAAAACGTATTTAAATGTGTATGTGGTTTTGCTGCATTCTTCAGAGTTTTTTTTCATAATGTCTGTTATAAGCTCTTTCAGGATGTGGTTGTCTTCTTACCTCTCTGCATAATACCCGCTGTACTAGATTGCAAGAAGTTGAGTGCTTTCCTTTTATTAGTTATTTTGTTTATTTCACAGCAATATGTTTCTTCTGCCTTTCAAGGGAGTATTTTGATTATTCAACAAGTATTTTAGCTATATTAGACTAATTATTTAGCCCCATTAGATTAATTTTTAGCCTTAATGGAATTCATGTTGCCCTGAAGAGCACAGAAAATGAGGGGAGGCATGGGAGACCCGGGGCACTATCAGGCATTGCAGTAGGCCAGGGCACAACACTGTGCTTATAGCTGAGGAAATGGGATGGCTGTTCTGGACAGGCTGTCTTGCCCAAGGCTGATGATTCAAGGTGTGGGCCTTTCTTACAGGCATGGCTGCCTTGTTGCTTCCTCTTCATCACATCTACCTGGTAAAAGCAAGACAGAGCCATCTGCCTTGGGTCTTTCCTTCATATGTCTCTTTAAATCTTATGCATCTGATTTCTTCCCCATTTCAGCACAAACAATGCCATTTGCTGTGCTGTTCTAATCAATCACTCTTGCAGTGTACAGAGCCCTGGGACCAGAAGTCTGACTCCTGCCCAGGTACTAGAGGAACCACTAGATCACTGTGGGTCACCTGAGTTTTGCAGCTTGGCAGGGGCTGTAATATTACATGGAGCTTTTAAAGAGACACAAACAGTACATGAGAGTTTCCTCTCTGTTCTCCTCTAAACTAATTTTATTTCTTTTTTTCCACTGTAGCTTCTCCTCAGATATTGATAGATTCTAGAGATGTTGTTCTCTCCCTTCCAACCATTTTCACTCTACTTCTCTCCTACAGAAACATCTGACGACTCATCAAAGAAGCCTGTGCTTACTGTGTTTCCACATCATCATTTTGCCTTTGACAATCCTATTAGTTTTTCTGAAAGACCATCAAACAGGGGATGGAATATACCAAGGAAGCAATTTCTTCTAGAAAAGTTTTATCCAATTATATGTTGCTCAACCACCAGAGTATTCCTTTATTTCACAGGCATGATAGTTTTCTGTGTATATGTCTCATCTAAGTTGGCTTTTCAGGAGTGCTTGAGTTTCTTAATGTGTTGATAGTCTCCAAAGGAGAGCTTTTATCTCTCATCTCTTGTACTTACTTCTTGAAGTCTCAAGCATCTAGATTGAAAGACGGACAAAAAATTTTCTAAGTCATATCACATTCCACTGGGAGTTCTTTTTCCTTGACAAAGCCTTCCTGAAGGGTTGGATAATCCATATAGGTCAGCAGCAAGTAATGGAGTGTCCAACTAAAAATTGCAAGTTATGTTTCTAACTGCAAGACTTCTTCAGACAACTTCAGGGGATATTATGTACCCAGCTGATCATTCTAGTGGGACACCAGTCAGACAGGGATCCAAACCTCTGGTGGCAAAGGGAATGGCATCACTTTCTGTCTTAGGAATGACTGCCTGTTCAAGAAGTGGAGCTTTAACAGGAACAGCATTCATTAAATAAATGTCCATAATTAAAAAAAAAAAAAAAGAAAGAATGTCTACTAAGAGATTTCCATTCTTTTGTTTCCTTTGTTGCAACCTGAAGATGATATCTTTGTCTGAACTGGTAAATTTCAGACCTTGCCCCAGTAGGTGCATTCCAGTAATGGGCAAGAACACACCTGTTCTTGTATCACAGGCAGTGACACGTTTCTAGTGTATGCTCTGCTGGCAAGTTATTTAAGCCATCAGCCCACAAAAGACTTATCAAACTTGCATAACTACACACCTTATAACAGAATTTGTGAGCATTGCAAGTTAACTTTGTTTGTACAAGCTATGGTGCAGGAGTGGTCTGTTCTTCCCCTTCTGGTGATATCCCAATGTCACCAGGAGACATTTGTCGAGAGAAAGGGTAGGGAACATCCGATGGGAAAGAGGAATTTTAGGAAAGCTGCTCCAGAGACATTTGTCTCCAGGAAGCCATAAGTCCCAGTTCCATGTATACTTGATAATCATCACTTCTGCTTTTGATACTAATATCGTATTACCCAATTTGCTGTCATTTATTGTCACAGGATGCTCTAGAAAGCTTTTCCATTCTGTCGTAAGTTCTTCATAAGGTCTTGTTCCAGGATCTGGATTTCTTGTTTTGTGTTCAAGCAAGGAATCAATCAAACATACATTATGACTGCTGATTGTCTGCATTAAATTTTAATGGTAGATTAATTCCTGATAATTAATGACACACTATCAAATGCAGTAAGGGAGACTTTTATAAGTCTGATGAGAAGGTTTGAAAAGTTAAAAAAGAAGGTTGGAAGGAATTTATGTCTATCTGAATGGAGCACTTCCTTCCTTTTTGAAAGCCTTGGGTATTTTTTTGTCTTTATAGAGTATCAGTCCAGTCTAAACACTGAAACAAGGTGGGTGAATAAAACTTCAACAGATCTTTGATCATTCAGACTCTGCAGAAATTCAGGGCAAGTCATTGCTGCCTAGTTCTGTTTTCAGAACAAAGGTTTTTAGAGCAGTCAAGTTCAGCAATTACTATTTTTGAAATTTTAACGGATCACTAAGATACATTAATCTTTTTTTCTTCCTCCTCATCAAAGTATTTGATTACCATTTGATGGTTAGAGGACATCACAGTCAGAAACCCTTTGGCTCTCACTGCTGCATCCTTTGCAAAGCAGCAGCTGAGTTCAAGACCTGCCCCAGAATTCTTGCCTGGTTTCTACCTCCTTTAGAGAGGCTGAGTGGTGTTAAGAGTTGTACATATCTTACAGAGGGCATACACATAAGGGATACCAAATGGAATTGAACTATTTCTGAAATGTTGAGGGGTACCTCTGATGCAGAGCACAGTTCTTTTGAGAATTAGGGCATGCTATTCCTTTACACTTTTTTGCTGTGCTGAAAAAGGACTAGTCAGTGGATTATATAAAACTTGTATTAAGTTTTTCTTCATTCTAATGATGAGGATAGCATGTGCAGAAATTTATTTTTTCTTTCAGGATTTCTCACAGCTGGTCTGTTTTACCAAGGTTAGATTCAGTCCATTCTCCGTTAGACTTTTTTGTCCTTACCAACAATCCTAACATTATATTGATGAGATAAAAATATGAAAAGGAAAAATCTACAAGCTCAAATTCTAAGAGCTTTTTTTCCCCCAAAGCTATTTTGTCCTTCCTACCCTGCAAAACATAAGCAAGCACTAGAAGAGAAAAATTAATCACCAGCAAACTAAATTATATAAAGAGAGACCAGGAGAAAACCAGTTATTTTTCACCTATCATTTTAGAAGGGTAATTGAAAGAGACAGAAGTCAACTAAATTTAGTACACTAAAACAATTTACAGTACTGTGAGTACTTCAACCTAATAGATCAAATATAGTTCTTTAAATTCTTCCCATTGCAAATCCAAGGAGAGAGAATTAAAAGAGGCTTTATTTTCAGAGTTGATAGTCAGTTAACTGTAAAATAATTTCCAGAGATAAAAAGACGTCCTTAATGCTTTATACTGTGTGGATTCAGGTTGGAGTATTTTTGTTCTGAAAAGTTTCCATCACCAGAATCTCTTTCCTTCCTTGTTCAGGCATTTAAAAATCCCCATTCTGACCTGTCAAGTCTTATACTCAGAGAATGAGACTCATTTGATTCATTCCTGTCTTACATGTTTCTATAGATGGGCTTGATATCAAGAGATAGAGAATAGATGCACATTTCAACTAAGCCCATCCAGTGGGTACCTGGGGTCAGTAGCACAGTCCCATCTTCTTTTGCTGCTCCCTGGTTATGTGTTCCTTCCCCCTTTGCAGTGCTAGTACTGTTGCA